TAGGCAACGAACCGCCAAGAACGAGGCAGCCGCGGTACCGTAAGTCACCGTATTTAATTTGTAGGTTTTGATTTGCTGATTTTGAGATGGTCGCCAAAGGATTGATTGAAGTTGTCTTTGACTTTCGTCAACTTGAACCTGCCTATACATTTTTGCTATATCAGCTGATAGAACGTATGAATGCTTTCTAAATCGTAAAAGTATCGAGAATAAGTCATTTTGTATGGTTGGACCTACATACTGCGTTTCGTTAAGTGATATACCTGACGTTGTCTTCGCGAAGCCATCGAAAACAACGCGAAGTTTGGTTGTTTCGCTAGATTCTTTTAAAACGGCATGGTGGGGTAGATAATAGTGAGGTGTAGTAATGTCATCCTTTTCGACAGGGGTCATGTGACCTAATTTCTCATACTCCTCTAAGAAATTAGAATATTCCTCTTTGATTCTGGGATTCTTAGCAAGCTTTCGTTCAAGAGAGTAAAAACGCTTAAGTGCGAGATCCTTTGACTGCCCTAAATCATTAACGTTTTTCTTAAATGGAATATTGACTATGAAACGACCGGAACTTGTACGTTTTGTGGTATTTTTGAAATGCTCCTCACAATGAATCTCATCTTCCGAATATTTATTGAGTTCATTAGCGCGATCATCTATCTCCCAAAATTGTTCTATTTTTCTATGAAATTCGTTTTCGTCAGTAACGCTACAATGTGCCAACAGGTTTGGGGAAGTATTATCATTTTTGTTTAGAATAAGGTTGCCTCCTAAAATCCACCCTAATTTAGTATTTTGTAATACGACTTTGTTTTTATATAAGGAATGCTGTCCAATGGATAACAGCTCCCAGAAAACTTTAGCCCCTAATAGAACATCAATTTTGCCGCTTATATTGCACTTGGGGTCGGCTAATTGAATATTTGTTGGAATTTCTAAGTCTTTTAGGTTGAAGGACCTTACAGGTAAACAGGCTGTAATTGTGTCTAATACTAAGCATTGAATATTGCCACTATAATTATTAATACGCGAATCGAATTTAAGAATTGTTTTGAACTCTACGTTAGATAGGGATTGATTGACACCAGAGACGACCAAATTTGATTTTGATTTGCGTAAGCCCAATCGATTACACAAATCGTTTGTAATGAAACTGGATTGCGAACCAGGATCAAGGAGAGCCCTGCAGTAATGAGTATTTCCATGAATATCAGAAACCTTAATGCTAGCTGTGGATAATAAGACTTGCGAATTATTTGAAGAAAGATTTGCTAATGTTACCTCATTACTAGTAGTTGAATTACCTGGCTGTTTTAGTTCCTTTTCGTTCCCTTCATTTACATTGCTACCTTTAAAAACCTTTGAACCTTGCTCACAAGAGCTTTCCCTGGCTAGGTGCAACAGAGTGTTGTGTTTTTTGTCGCATTTTTTACAATTGCGCATTTTGCAATCTTTGATTTCGTGGTAGGGTTTTAAACAATTTAGACATAGTCGCATGCGTTTTACTTGCGAAATGCGCTCATACACGGTTAGCTGTAGGAACGAATTACATGCGTATATGGGATGCGAACCCTTGCATAAAGCACAAATAGCTTTAAATGTACTCACATGTACATTTGTGTTTTTGGTTTGAGAAAACTTTGGATTAGATTTACTGTAATTATTTATATTTGTACTACCTTTTGTGGCCTCAATTGAACCCAGAATATGGCAACGGGTTTCCAAGAAATCTAAAAACTCTTGCAATTTAGGAAAGTCACCTGCAGGCTGAAATAATTCCCATTCATGACGTGTTGCACTACTGATTTTTGATGTAATTATGTAAATAAGTAATACATCAGCTGTTGGCTGATCATAGTTTTTTAATGTTTCCAAGAAATCTAAAAACTCTTGCAATTTAGGAAAGTCACCTGCAGGCTTAAATAATTCCCATTCATGACGAGTTGCACTATTGATTTTTGAGATAATTATGTAAATAAGTAATACATCAGCTGTTGGCTGATCATACTTTTTTAATGATTGAATTATTTTTAAAATACTGTCTAATAACTTTTGTAAAGATGTGTATGAATCTTTATAAATTGTTTCTAAATTAAAAAGGGATTTAATATTGTTTTGAACAATCAGTTTTTTGTTTTCAAAGCGTTTCTTTAGAATATCCCAGGCAACTAAATAATTATCAGCAGAAACCTTAAGCGATTTGATAGCTTGTGACGCTTCGCCCTTTAATGCTGATATTAAATAATAAAATTTTTGAATGTTCGATAACCGTGAATTACTGTGTATAAGCGAATCAAAGGCATCGTGAAATTCAAGCCAATTTTCAAATTCACCGCTGAAAGTTGGCAACTGAATGCTGGGTAAACGTAACAAACCTTCCCCCATTTCGGGATCTAAGTTGACGGGTTTTTTAATATTGTCATTTGAATTATTTTTGTTTTTGTTAATAAAGTACTTAATTTTTGCGGTGATATCAAAAAAGCTATTTTCAAATGTCTCGAAATCTAAATCATGCGTAGGATCATCGGAATTACTAATAATTTGTGAATGAACACGTTCGTAATCCTCTAACAAGTTTTGGTCTCTGTGGAGACGATCTTCTAATTCTAATATGTCAGTCTCACCTATGTTTTCTTTGGACGAAACTTGTTTAAAATAATTGATAAGCCTTGTAAGGCGCGATTTAATTTGACCCCTTTGAATAATCAAACCTTTGAGAGCCTCCATAATAACTCAAATTGAAAGCAGTTGAATGAAAAGGGAATTGATAAAAGATAGGATGCACACTTACTTGAATTGTTGAATTGGTGATTGCGAAACGGATCGAAATTGCGTGAAGTCCTTTATGGAATGTGATGATTTCCTCGTTCGATGGTAGTTGATGATGATGTGATGCAAAGCCACACTCGTTGACGGTAAAAATGAGGTGATGCAAAGCCACACACGTTTTTGATGATGATGAAGACTCACACACTTTGTTGATAATGTGATGATTCACACGACAGTTTTTGCACTTATTTTTTTTAATATCCGGCTCGAAGGACCATTTAATTATGTAGAAAAAGCAAACGTCGATTGCAATGCTTTTCCTTATGTACTGCTGTACCACATTTTTTAATGAATAAACTCTTAATGGTTTTAAGAAATTTAATTCATTAGCACAAAAACGGAATATTTACNGTTGGTAAAGTTACAGACGTAACACTCCCCCTAACTTAAGAATTTTGCATATACAATGAAAAATTATGTGCAAAATTTAAAAAGAAATAACTAAATCTAACATAAGAAGATACAATACATTATAGTTATATGCTAAAGGTAACTCATTTTGATTAAATATAACATTTTATCAGTCTTTAATATCAATATATATATATATAGTAAAAGCGTTTTATCAAAATCTTTCTTCAGTCTATTTTGTTTTATATAATACGAAGTTTGGGGTCCATTCGCAGGTGAATTTCGTATTTGGGATCTGATTCTTCTTCCAGTATGGTGGCCATTGGAGTAGTTACTGCTGGAGCGGTTGCAGCGTATGACGGGGGTTCAATTGTTGAAGTCCCAGTAGGAAGGTCTTCTACTTATCACTGTCTTTGGCCTATTTGTATTGTTGATGTTTATACAAAGGTTCGGACACCCCCATGAGAAAGGGTTGAAGTTGAACGATAATTGGCATTTGTTACATAAGCAACAGGTGGTGATGGTAATAATACTTAAAAGTCTAATTGCAGACCAAAACCATCCTTTGGGCGTGATTGAGAAGAGTGGTTTAAGTTTTTCTTTTAAGATATCTTCTCTGAGATTCTCCAGCCGGTGTTTATTGAAGACCAAATTTTCTTGATTCAGGTCGTGCATCTTCAATGGATTTATCGATATCTTTTCTGCTTCTTGTTGTTCTTTTATGCAGCAGTCGTACGGGATGGGAATACCAATCATAGTGGAATTGGTTGTATTACTGGGTTTCCTTGGAGGTTCTATTTTGAATCCATTCGAAGTGTATCCAGAACATGGGGCCTCTAGGCGTAAGATACCAGTAGTCGGGAGTGCAACTTGCGGTATAGTTTTCCGTTGACATTTGTATGTGAACGATGCAGGTGCGGAGAGTAAGAATAGCCATCTATGACCATCCAAGGGTTGAAGATGATCGTCCTCTAAAGGAGTTACTAGGACGTCACATTTGCTTGACCATTTCCCTCTTATAATCAAATTAGTGTCACACGTGGAATGTCTGTCTAGCGTTTGATATTTTAAAGTTATACCAAAATAATTGTTATTAATGGTCATTAAGCCTTGAAGAGACGTTAATGCGATAACAAGTGACTGTGTAACGTCAAGAGCTAAATATGAGAAGTCAGGTAGCAAGACGTTGTAGTGGTCTTGAACTTTACTTTTAAAAGGTATTGAAAATATTCTGAGGAGGTTAAAGGCAGTTTTGTCGACAAGTGGAAATTTGAATAATACGATTAACTTTTTTGTCTTTTATAGAGGCACTTGTTTTTATTAATTTTTGGTATTTGAGAATTTCTTTAAGCTCGAAAGAGAAAGGAAAGGTAATGCCAGCTTTTGCATTTGCCTGCTTTAAAATCTGTGATTTATTAATGTCTTTAAGGATTTCGAGGGGTAGAATATTTTCTTTGCTATAAAGCATATAAGAGAGTATCTAAATGATATCAAAACGGAGTTCATTTATGGCTTCTGTTAAAACTAGAGCAGTATTAAATAATTTCATTTTGATAATAATAATAATGATATCTGTCTGGTATTTTGTAAATGAGATAATGAATTTTGTGTATCACGATGATTGTAAGTGACTTCTTTTATAAACTGTTGTGCTTTAATTAGCGTCTGAAGTAAGTCATCTGATCGTTCGAAAACCTGTCAATAAACTTAAAGCACATTGTGAATATTAATTTCAATAGCTACAATTACAAAAAATGAATCATGAAGATCAGAAAAATATTTACTTTCACTACTTGTTACTATTTGATGTAACAGTTCATTTTCTGCAGCAAATTTTTTTTATTTTCTCTTTTAAACTTTCAAAAGAGTATTCTTCTTCATCATCAAATGTAATAATGGATACTATTTTTCTATTTTCTATTATATGAGATTTGATGTTTTTCTGCTCCTTTACAATGCAATCCATAGAAAAAAAATATTGTTATTAATTTCGTTGAAATTAGTGTTGTAAAAACCACAAGCAAAGTAGCTACACAAATATGAAAATTGTTAGGTTTTAGTAGAGATTTTTTTTAATACTTCATCAACGAGCTCTAGCAATAAAAAAAAATTATTATGCATTATTTAAAGTCATAACACTGAAATACTATTACCTTTTTTTTTACCCAACTTTGAATGAATTTTATCAATCGGTAGATCGTTTTTGTCCAGCTCCGGCGTTCTATTCGGCTCTGTCTCTTGCATACTATCTTTCTTGTTAACTTTGTTCGCTAAATTCCGTGATGGCCGTTGACTGTCTTTGATGCTAGTCACTAGTTCGGTTTCTCGTTCCTTCTTCAATTCACACATTGCTTCATAACCTTATGACACGAAAAGAAATCAACATAATTTATTTATGAAGATGATCTTTATCATGCTCAACATTTCTA